ATTAATTAATTAATTAATTAATTAAATAAATAAATAAATAAATAAATAAATAAATAAATAAATAAATAAATAAATAAATAAATAAATAAATAAATAATAATAATCACGTCGGAAAGTCATGCAACGTCCAGAGGTAACCCCTTTCGAGCCTTTTCCTGGCCAGAAAAATAAGGCTTGTACCGTAACAGCAAGATTGCAAACACACCCGCTCCAGTCACGTGACTTCTCTCCCTCCGCCTTAAGCTGGCGCGACCTTTAGACTTTAAGACAAGGCAAGGGGTGGGAGGTCTGACCACCGAGTTGGAAGCATAGATCAGGCCCGAGGGGGGGAGAAAGGCGCATCATTCATTGTGCGCGTGCGCGGTGCGGCCCAACGCTTCCGCCTAGGCCGCCATGATGGTTACCGTAGTAACCGCGATAAACGAAGGGAAAAGCTTGTTTGCCGCTGCCGGGAGTGAAAGGGAATGCTTTATTTGCGTTAGTTAATTTTTTTCCTTCTATTGGTATTCCCCACCCTACTCGTCCCGGCATCGGATAGTAAAACGCGGTAACGACCGCTGTGGGCGCGGCTCGGTCCGCCAATCTCGGAAGGCCTCGCGAGAATTGAAAGCGGTGCGGCCGGGCGCCGACCTGCCCTTGAGCGCGCGGCAGAAGCAGCCGCTTTCGCTCCACAATGACGCCGCGCGTCGTCCCTCTGGTGAAGTGAGTCGGGCGGGCGATCTTGCTACAATTCATATTTTGATTATCGTTAATTTAAACTCCGATGTTTAAAATGAGGGGGAGGGGAAGCAATTAAGGGACGAGCCTATCCAAGCTCACAAGGATCCTCCTCTGGTGTGGAAGGGGTTTCTTTTTAAATATATTTTTAACCGTTTCCCCTTTTGCAAACCCTGCCCTAACACACTTAATTCTCATTTATTCTATTTTATTGATTTTGCTCCTTCTTTGGCAGCCCTTCGTGAGGAAGTTTTCGTGGGCGGGGGCTTCCGCCCCCAGGTTTTGCAAAGGCAAGGTTGCCCTTCTAACCTTGGGTTCTCAAGCAGATCTCGAGATCTGGTGGATCCCCAGGAAATGAGCAGGAAATTGAAAATCAATAACAGCCAACGGGCTGCTAATGACATTTTTTTTGGGGGGGGGAGGCCTTCCAGCCAGAGGGGCTGGCCTTGAAGAGGACGGTCCCAGGTGGAGGATTGCTCTTGATGGGCTGGGGCTGCAGAGGTTCGGAGTTTGAATCCTACCCAGGAGAAGAGCCAGCCTGGGGGGGGCACTTGGGCCAGCTGAAACCCCCCCAAAGAAACCCAGGAGGATAGTGAAACACTTCTGAGTGTGATGATACCTTTAAAACCCCAACTTGGGCCAGCTGAACCTCCCCCCCCCCAAAAAACCCCAAGAGGATAGTGAAACACCTCTGAGTGTGATGATACCTTTAAAACCCCAGAAACACACACCAAAATTGTCCATGGCACTCAGGATTATTATTGTTATTATTACTATTGCCATGTGATTACTGTGTCGTTGTTGTTGTTGTTGTTGTTGTTAATTTTCTCCTGGGATCCTCTTCACCCCCTCTTCATACACACACCCCAGTGAGTTGGGGCTTTCCCACCTTACGAGCCTAGGGGGGGTGGACTAGACGAACTTTTGGATCCCCCTCCAGCCTCCTCGCTCTGGAAGTGTCCTGTTCGAACGGTTGCACGTGCAAATCCTGGAAAGCGGATGTGTGTGGTATGTTGTGTTTTTTTCTCTCTGCCCCGGTCTCAACCTGGCTTCTCTCCATCTCAGGTTCCTGGCCAAAGGCGCCCTAGCCGGCGGCGCCGTCTACGTGGTTTATGACCAGGGGCTTCTCCGAGGGGGCGAGCAAGGGGCTCAGGCCCTCCGGAAGGCCAAAGAGGCACTCCCCCCAGCCCTGGAGGAGTGGGTGGCCTATTTTGGCTGGCAGGTGAGCCCTGAGGGAGGCGGGTCGGCCTCCTTTCGTGCCGGACCCAAGGGCTGGATGTTTCGGCACCAGGAATGGCACAGCCGGGTCGATTCAGGAGCCTGGTGCCTGTCCGGATTGGGTTTCCTTCTTAGAATGGCCAAGCAGGAAAGGGAGCTTAGAGGTCATCCAGTCCAGCCCCTGTAAAGGAGGATTGGGGGGGTCAACCTCTGGCTCCAGAGACCTAAACCCCTGGGGGGGGGTTTCAACCTCTGGCTCCAGAGACCTAAACCCCTGACCTCTTTGGTCTGTTTAAGGAAGAGGATCTGGAGGCAGTATAGATGCTCAAAAGTATTTATTGACTTTATTTGTACCACTTCTAGGCTGGCTTTCTCCCCGCGGTGCAACTCAAGGTAGCTCACAGGTTCATTAAAAGAAACAAGAATGAAAAACAAGAAGCCATTTCAGAATTATTCAATTTTTGAAATGTAAATAGTTGGGTGTTTCCTTAAAACCTCAAGCAAGCACCATGTCTTTCCAGGGAGTCTGCCTGTTTCTTGATTTTTTCCCACCCTTTTGACCGTGTTTTTGTTTATTTGTTTGTTTCACCAGCTTCCAGCTGTTCCGAAAACTGAATTTTCTCTCTGCAATTCCTGGAACTCGGGTAAGATTTGGTGTTTTTTTAAAAGGGTTTTTTAAAAGAGGATGTGGCCCCACAGGGTGTGGGTTCTGGCTGGTGGCCCTATGATCTGCAACTTCAAGGAAACGTCTCCTTCCAGTTCCACAGTACACGAGTCCACTCCTGGTTTTCCCCCTAAGCTTTTACCCATCACAGCCATTTAATTTGTTTGATCCTTTTAAGGACAAAGGCGGGGTAAAAACATTTAAAATAAACTCATTTGGAGGAAGAGTGAACGGAATGGGGTATTGTGGCACGGGGTGCGGCTGGCAATCCCACAACAAGAAAATCTAAGCAAGCTTTTGTGGCGGGTTCCACTTGTTCTGTAGTTTTAGGTCTGTTGGGTTTTTTCCAGGGGTTCGGACCATCATCGGGGCGCTCTCGGTGGCCCCCACCCGGGCCACGGAGTACACTCAGTACGGCTGGAAGTACGTGAAGGATCTCGCCAAATGAAACCATCCAACACAGAAACCGGGGGCTTCTCTTGGCATCGCAGGGGCAGATTCTCGGCGCCCACAGCTGGGGAAGGGCCCCGCTCCTAAAGGGCTCCAATAAAAAGACTTGGAAAGGGCCGTCGAGCTCCCTGGGTTTGAGACGTCTCTTGCTTTAAGTCCGGTTTAAATTTTGTTGCTGGGTTACTTCGATGCCGCTGAAAGGCCCTCACCAAGATCAGAGCCGGCTTGCGACCAGCCGGGGGCGGGTTTTTTGCCCAATTCATTTTGGGGGCATCAGACAGAAGACAGGGCTTGTGCGGCAACCCCTTGCTTTGATCCACTCTTCCGGACTGCCCCATTCACTTTCAGGCCCCTAACTTTAAGGGGGGGAGGAACCACCATCTTGCATTGAAGACCTAGGAGCTATTTTCTGATCCCAGTGAGAATTCCCATATATTAAAAGTTGGGAAAAGTTTGTGGGGTGGATTTCCTTTTGTCCAACAGACTCCCTGATCCTTATTCGGGTAGCTCCCCCTGACAGACCTCCCATCTATGGATCCCAAAATGTGGCTCGCCTGGCGGAAAGGCCTAGCTGGCAGGCCACATGGCCTTAGAGAAGCTGAATGCTACCTACTAGAAAACGAAGACTCTCCAGCATGCTTTGGAGCAACTTCCTGTTTGAACAGGAAGCTAAGACATGCAAGCCTTCCCTTTCAGGCCTTTTTCTCCAGGCGAGCCACATTTGGGTCGCGGTCAAAGGGCGTCTGTCAGGCCGAATGCCTGGAATGGAGGAGTCCAGAAGAGCAGGAGGATTGCATTTAAGACCAAGCCGATGACGTTCTTGTGAATTTCTTGCCTTTTCTGACCACGGTGCTAATGCCATCATCTCCCTCCACAGTGGGGACACATTGATGGTGGCAAAATTTGCCCCAGATTTTATGTTGAAGGAGGGGAAAAATGAAAAAAACCAAACTATCCCAGAGGTAAAGGAGAATAAATTTATTGGGTTTGTTTTCTGTGGTGCTTTAGGGAAAACGACTGTACAGAACACGTTGGTTGAAATGCAAAAGAATGCTTTTCAGCTTCTCGTGTCACAATGTCCCAGTGTGTCAACCTTACAGGGGGTGCTGCTATGCTTCTTTTTGGGCTGCGAAAAGTTTTTTCCGCCCCTTACAGGTGTGTCCAGCTCTAGATGATGGTCTCGTATTCCTCATGCATCGTTTGGATGTAAATCTCCTCGCGTTCCCAGTAGAAAAAGTGGGGTGGCTGTGCAGGTTGTTGCTCGGAAGTTCCTTTTTTCTTGGACTCCCTCATGGCCTTTTCCTCTACAAAGAAACCAATAATAATCGAGGAATTAAGGTTACAAAGGTAGTGGAGGGGAGTGTTCATCTTAAAATAACAGTCAACCTGCCTGCTCTTAGAATTATCGCTGGAGAAGGAAAGTCACTCAATCCTGTTACATTACCTTTGAAATGTAACTCTTACACCTTCATTCCAGCAAAAAGTAATTAGTTGCTGGTAACCATGGGAGTTGCATCCTGATAGTTCCATGATTTATGGGAAAGTGGTAACCATGGGAGTTGCACCCTGATAGTTCCATGATTTATGGGAAAGTCAACACATTGGATTAAAATTCTGAGAATCTGGATGGGGAAATTGAGATGTTTTTGAAGAAACAGCAATAACATATACTTCCCGGGCTCTGCATCACCTCTTTCTTCCCTGGGTGGTTGAATCTGAAACAGTTCTTTTCTCATGCAGTGATTGGCGTGGGACTGAAATTCATTTACTGTACCATATTTGCCGGCGTACAAGATGACTCTGAAATTCATGTACCATATTTGCCGGCGTACAAGAGGACTTTTTGGCCCTGAAAAACATGCCTCCAAGTGTGTGGGGGTCTTGTACGCCTGGTGCACGTCCAGCAAACCCTCCCAGCGAAGTCACTTACCTGGTAGTGTCCATCAAGCCCTCTCTCCCAGCGAAGTAACTTACCTGGTAGTTAGACCGAGTAGAGCCCTGCTCCTAGCCTGGGAACAGCCTGACTCTAGCGCCAAACAGCTGACTGTTGGGAACAGCAGAGAGGAGGCAGCCATTTTGAGATGCGACCACATGGCTGCCGCCTCTCGAAAATGGCTGCCGCCTCTCTGCTGCTTCCCGACAGTCTGCTGTTCGGCGCTGATGCTGTCCTTCTTCCAGGAAACCCTCGCTCTCTCCCAGCAAAAAGAACCAGAATCACGCATGCGGAAGAGGGGGTAGTCTTATACAGCAAGTATATAACAAACTACATTTTGAGTGGAAATGTTGGGGGGGGGTCGTCTTATACACCCAGTTGCCTTATACACCGGCAAATACGGTACGTTTGCAAGAAACAGTTGGGCCATGTACAGACTCACCTGTTTGGGTATCGACTCGTTTGCAAGAGTGACAGGTCTGTGTACAGACTCACCTGTTTGGGTATCGACTGTCCGTCCGAAAAGAAGGATGGTCCCAGCCATCATGGCTGCTAAGGTCAAAACCATTAGAAGCACAGCCCACCAATGTGTCTGCAGACGGAGAGAGGGGATCGTCAGAATTAAGGCTCGGGAGAGATGTTTTCTCACCCAATGGCCCTGTGCGCCAACATCCCAAATGGGATTTGGAAGGAGGCAAAGTAAGACTGGAAGTCCAACCAGAACGGCGACAGCTTGTACATGTTGCACGAGCTGGTTGCTCGTGGTCGAGAGCAGGACATGAATGCTAGCCCAGAACCTCATTTCTGTGCTGTCTTCAAGGGTGGACCGCAACAATGTGCAGGGTAGTCATCTATCTACTCTCACGCACCCCTTGGGCTGTATTTCACCACCTCAAAAATAAGTAGATTAGGGCGGAGTGAATCTGTTTAAGGAATTTGGCTTTTTTTAATTGGAAAAAAAAGCATGATTCAGTTCCTTTCCAAGAGGGCGGGACCATATAAGAAATTAAAAGCCCAGATGATTTATATAGAGATGACCCTTGGTGGACACATCTGTATACCACAGCCTGCCAAAGGCTTCCCATTTTAAAAAAATGAATATATGTGCCCCCTAGTGACTGCACTCATTATAGGTTCTTAGATTGAGATGCCCTCTAATGGCTGTGTGTGTTTACTGCATACAGTGTGACTATATTGTGGGCTTTGTTACATTTTTGTGACCCCAAAATGTAAACTTTTGGAAACGTCTGGCTGTAATTGGCTACATGAGTCATGCATCTTGATCTCGACTGTGCTGCGCTCGTAAGGGGTTCCTTGCGAAACAGTGCCGGTGTTAAAGCACACACCAAGGGTCCGGCTGAGCAAGGGTGATACCTGTAGGGCTTTTAGGGGCTGTATGATCACCCCAATACCCCAAACTGGAAACCACTCCTCACTGAAGCCTTGAGGACTAGAAACAGATCTTTTTGTCAGCTGTGGTTGCATCTCTTCTCCTTCGTAAGATGTTAAGCCTGGCTCTTTATCCTGAAACCCTGCTTTAAACTCACCCGGGGACTTTCTTGATTGAATAAAGACTAGAATCTTGGTTTCCAGAAACGCCCGCTGGACGGCTGCCGTGCCTGGACTCACCTTCATCCACGTGGCGACGTCTTCCATCTCAATGAGGTCCAAGATGAAATTTTTCACGCGGGCAATAGGCCCGTCTTCGTCCACGAACCGGCAGATGTGGAAATGGTCACAGTAGCCGGTCTTGTCGCCGCACGGGGAGCCGGGGATGAGCGGGATGTCCGAGCCGTTGAAGAATTGCCCCCAGGCGGGAGAACCTGCACCGGTGCAGGTTTCGGCCCGTCCTGGAAGAGCCATTTGGGGTGGGAAGAGAGAGGGAGAAAGAAAGAATCAAGGAGTCCACAAATCTGTGTTTTTTTGAAATTGTGGTTTAGCCCACTCGGCAGTTTGTACAATCTTTATCTTTTGGGTAAGTACAGCTGGGAAAGAACGTGTTATCTCTAAAGGGTTGTGGTTTGTAATTCAGAGGTGACAGTGAGCAAGACCCAAGTTCCTGATGTAAGTTAACTTTTTGCAATTGCTTTTTAAGCTGACTTTTGCAAGGCACTTTGAAGCCCTTGTTGGTTGGGTTTTTATTATTATTATTATTATTATTTTTAGGTACTGTATCTTGGCAGGAACACTTCAGGTTTTGATCAACCTTAACGATTTCTCCTCTCGGGCCAACCCCCTCCCCCCAAAAAACCCCAAGCACAAGAAATGAGTTACTCCCCCACCAGCTTTGTACCCAGTAGCATCAACAGATTACTTTTCAAAAGTTGTAACAAAGAAGACCAACAAATGACTTTTAAAAAGTCACTTTCTAAGTTTCATTGGAAGCAAAAATTAAGAAAAAAAGCATGCTGCTGGTGTGATTTGTTTGTTCTGTCGTAACCAGTATGTTTCCATAAGCTAGGAAATCAATAGGCATACAACAGAGGCCAGGATCCATCATGATGATGATATCATGATACACCAACTGCAGAAGACTTTCTCACTTGGAGCAGCACATATTTATGGAAATACCTATGAATTATCCTAGTTCACTGAGAATGATCTGATAGCCAAGAAGTGCAACCAACATTTAGTGGACTGTGTAATAATAATAATAATAATAATAATAATAATAATAATAATAATAATAATAATAGTTGGCAAAAGTTAAATACTTGTTTAATTCTTTTTAGAATTTGTATACTCTATACTTTTTAGCATTTGTATACTTTATACAGTTCTTTTATACATTTGTATAATAATAGAAAAGGCGTCAGAAAATAACCAAATTATGATCTTGGGGGATTTTCAGAGTCACAGACAAGCCACCTTGAGCGTAACACACCAGACTTAGTAGAAATAGAACAAAGCAAGTGCTGTATTACTGACATTGCAATTCCATGGGATGCCAGAGTTGATGATAAAAAAAATTAACAAAACACAGAGATACGACAGAAGAACAGTCTTTTGCTTGTGGATGGGACCTATTTCAGGGGTCCTCGTCATCGTCGGAGCATTGGGGGAAATGCCGTGGAATATTATAATCAGCTGCAGATTTCTAAAATTCAGGGGTGCTCGTCATCGTTGGAGCATTGGGGGAAATGCCGTGGAATTTCCTAAAATATTATAATCAGCTGCAGATTTCTAAAATCACACCACCAGAGCTTGCGAAAAGCTGGCAATATTAGGAACAGTGTGCCTATTAGACTGATACTGAATGGATGCTTGGTTTTTTGGTTAAAACTTGTTCCTGTTATAAAATGCCAGTCCAAGGCTCGTCATCGTTGGAGCATTGGGGGAAATGCCGTGGAATTTCCTAAAATATTATAATCAGCTGCAGATTTCTAAAATCACACCACCAGAGCTTGCGAAAAGCTGGCAATATTAGGAACAGTGTGCCTATTAGACTGATACTGAATGGATGCTTGGTTTTTTGGTTAAAACTTGTTCCTGTTATAAAATGCCAGTCCAAGACTATGTCTTGTATTTTTGGGTAAATAATGAGAAAAGTAAGGAGAACAGTATCTCAGGTGTTATGTATTTTACTTGTGTGTAAGCGAAAGCAAGCGGGTTTTTCTCCTTGGTTTTCTCACCCTAAGTTTGCAGAGACCTTCTTGACAGCCGCCGGCTGCCCGGAAAAGAAAGGGAGGGAGGCAAGGAGTGTAAAATGAAAAATTCAGACCTGGTTGACGGCAATAAAGCTGGCATCTCTTGTGCGGGGAAGCCGAGGCCCCATCGCACGGCTCCAATCCGTGCCGGATGCAGAGGGAGCCCGCGCAGAGCTAAAAGGAGGAGAGAGGAGAAAAGAGGAAGAAAATTTAGCCACTTGGAGGGTTTGAAAAAGGAGCTTTTCTCTCTCGGACTGAACTGCAGGAGGAACTCCAGCACCCCGATTCACTTGGGATACTACCGAGGCATAGGCATCCTTCAGTCTCGAGAGACTATGGTAACATGCTCTGAATCGAGGAGTGTCCCCTCCAGAGCATGAAGCCTGGGTAAAGTAATATGGAGGATAGGCTGTTACCCAAGCAGCAGATCCCCCCTCTCCACGTTGCTGAAATGGTCCAATGGAAAGGCAAGAGCCAATACAACTGGTTCCAGCAACGTCGCAGGAGTTGGCAGAACGACAAGAACTGCCTTCGGGCCTCCAGCTCCGGATTTTGCCTCGAGGTTAACTCCTGAAGCCTTTTCCATCAGTGGATACAGCCACAAGGCAGTGGAGGTTTGAAATCAGAGTTTTCCTTTTCCTAGATGGGCTGCCTTCCAGGGCTGAATGAGTCCCACCTACCCGGCCTGCTCTTTAATAGTGCAGAAGTATGATCTGACCCTTAAAACTACCGAGATTATTAGTCCAAAAATGTTAATTTTCCCACAGTAACTAATTCCTTCCGGCAAGCCCACCCAAAAGACTTTGCCTACCTGATGGGATTTTGCTTTCTTGATCTCAAAGATGGACAGTTCCTGGAGAGGGAGGCTCCCTCTGAGCCTCCACCCATCAACAGGGGCCGACCGATTTCACACCCGCAGGACTCACCCCGTCCAAACACACCCGGGACCCCATCCCACAGAGGGTGAGGTTGGCTTTTGGCAGGGGTGCCGGGCATTCGGCCTCCAAGCCGGAGCAGATGCTTTCTGAAGCGCAGTCGGTCTCCTCTTGGCAAACGTGGCCCCGGGGTTTGGGGACGCATGCGTGAGTGCAGCAAACTCCCTGGCTGGGGCTGTGAAAAGGAAGAAGGGGACAGATCTTTCTCTTCTTTTAGGTATTCATTTTTATCCCTCCCTTTTCTCTTGCATCTGGAGGCAGTGGCTGGGAAATGCCGCACAAAATGTCCTGATGTTTTGCAGGGAAAGTAACTAAGTAGTAACTAGTTATTCTTGAGTGACATGGAAGTAATTTGTTACTTTAAAGTTGTAACTGTGACATAACGACAGTGCTTTGACGGGCAGATTGGACCCATAACGGTAATTAATTGCAATTTAAAGATTCCTATTCAAGGTCTGGAGGACAGACAGGAAGGCAACCCCACGGCACGCCATTCCTACCTGCAAAGAGCTCCTGGCTTCAGCCGGCACCGGATCCCACTGGGCTCCGCGGCGCCGTAGCAACAGGGATCCGCACCTTGGTTCCCGACATCGCACTCCTCTCCCGCGTCCACGATCCGATTCCCACAGATGGGGCGGTCGGTCTCTGAAGGGGGAGAACGCTGCATCTGGGAAAGGCGGTCTCTCCCAGGAAGCATTCCGTATTACAAACCCCAGAATTCCTGCCAACTGGCAAGGGAGTGGGGATAATGGGCACTGTAGTGGGGGAAGCAAGCTTTAACACGCAGGGCATTTTTTTTACCAGCAAAACAAAGGTCTTTCTTTTGCCTCAGGATCTCGGCAATGTAGGCCCGGCTGCACGGTGAGAATTTGTCATTATTGAACTGGCCGCCATCCGTGGCGTAGCCGAACATCAGGTACTTCCCGTCGGAGGTGTCGAGGGCGAAATGGGAACATGCTTTGCTTTCATCGTGCTTTAAAAAAAGGGGGGGGAATAAACCCGAAAGAGACACCATAAACGTCTGGAGTGGAGATCGGGGCAGCCTGCAGGCACACAAGGTTCAGTAGAGCGCTGCACTATCAGTGCAGTTTGCAGTAAGCAATAGAGAGCTCCTCCGAGCATGTGCTGAGTGCCGGAATTCATTTCTTGCATATCCCTAAGTGGGCTTGCTCTCTTTACTCTCTTCGTAGGCTGCTCTTGAGTCCCCTTTCCTCTTTCCTTTTCTGGTTGAAAGTCAGAGTAGGAGTTTGTTAAATAAAGCAGCTCATACCTAGCTTGCCTCTCAAGTAATTCAGTGACAAACAATCCTGCAGAGCGGGAGTCCACGTTGAGCGGACGAGAGACCCGGACGGCTAACCTTACTCTTGACTCTGAGGTGAGTTCAGGTGAATTTTAAGGCCATGCAGGAAGGAGGAGATGAGGAAGGACGGAAGGAAGGAAGGAGCTGATGATGGATAGAGAAAGGAAGGAGCTTACGATGGATGGATGGAAGGAAGGAGCTGATGATGGATGATTGAAGGAAGGAGTTGATGATGGATGGATGGATGGATGGATGGATGGATGGATGGATGGATGGATGGATGGATGGATGGATGGATGGAT